ATACCAATTTAATGTTGTTCATTTCTTCTTGTATATCATACCACCACAATTTTACATGTCACATCAAAATGGATGATTGTGACATGGTTATCACGGATAACATGAACACCCGCCCTAGGTATATGGGCATGGTGTGAAGTGGACAGATCCATGAGACTTCACGGATGTAGATATCGGTCTTCTTCCTCTCTCTCTCTCTCTCTCTCTCTCTCTCTCGCTCTCTCCTCTCTCTCTCCTCTCTCTATATATATATAGATATATTAGATATATATATATATATATATATATATATATATATATATATATATATATATATATATATATATATCTATAGGTTAGGTTATTGTATTCTAACTATTTAGTGTGTGAATGTAGGGTTGATTGTGGACCACTCATTTTAATTTTTTTTTTAGAAAATGATTAATAAATACTATTGAATTAAAAATAAATAAAAAAAATACCATCTAATTTCACTATAAGGGTATTTTTGTTAAATGAGATAAATTTTAAAAAGGATTTTTCCAAAATTTTGGGATAGTTAATTCTCTTGATTTAAAAGTTCTTATTTTTTTTAATTAATTCAATTTTAATTCTAACGTAATTTTTAATTATACCCGGTTTTTTTCCTGTCATAATGATATTCTGTTAGAATGATATTCTATAAAAATGTCAGTATACATATTTCTTACAGAATACATATTTTGATTAAATTAACTTCTTGAAGAAAGACATAATTCTTGAACCATTAGTTAAAAAATAACAAGATCCTTGTATATTTATAGACATATGAATGTAGATACATACATATTCTTACATAATAAAAGTCTTATACATTTAAATATAATTATACATATTCTATCTGAATGTCATAAAAATAAAATAAATTCTTAAAAAACATAGCATGCTTAAAATATACAATTCTCGAACAAATGCACTTGATCTTCTTCAATGGTCCAGAGTCTGACTTGATTCCAACCATTCTTACGAGAATGACATTCTGTGAGACTAACATCAGACAATAATTACATTTTATAAGAATAACATTCTGTGAGAATACATTTATCTTTATCATCTAATATATGCAATGCTCATGTATCTGATAAAAAAATACATATTATCAAATCTTATGATAAAATACTTTACAAACTTTAGTGGTTCATTTCAAAATATATTCTAGCAGCTAAAAACAACTATCCACAAACTCCTTACATTTCCTAGTCTATAATTAATAAAAAAGTGAGATGCTAGTCAATAATAAAAACAAGATTGCTTTCTAAGGAAATTGTAAACCATAAGTAATATGGTTTTAAAAAATAAGAGTAAATTACACGAATGGTCCCTATGGTTTGGGGTAATTTGTATGTTTGGTCCCTAACTTTTTTTTTAACTCGGAAGGTCCCTACAGTTTGTTTTTGTTGCGCGTTTGGTCCCTGTCATACTTAAAAAGACTATTTTTCCCTTGATTTTTTAATTTATTTAAATAATGTGAGATAGATAAGGTAAAGTAAGGTGAGGTGGAAGTGAGTTGGGGTGTATTTATTTAAATAAATCAAAAAATCAAAGGCAAAATAGTCTTTTTAGATAAGACATGGACCAAACGCAATAAAAACAAACAGTATGGACCTTCAAAGTTAAAAAAAATAAGTTAGGAACCAAACGTACAAATTATCCCAAACCATAAGGACCATTCGTGTAATTTACTCAAAAAATAAAAAGTAAAAAAACAATTTTTTTGTCCACCAAAATCTCTAAGTGACGATGCTTCCCATGATGATATTAATATATAAACATTCTATGGATTTAAAAACAAAAAACAACTAATTATAACATAATATGGACGAACCTGTTACAAAAGGATACTTGATTTTTATTTTTGGTCGACACAATGGAATGAAAACATGTACTAAACACGAGTTTTTGTTTTTATTGAATCACTGTCTATCCTTCTCTCGCTCCTGTTGTAATGTGTCGGAGATGCATATAGCGGTGGGATAGAGTTGTAGTGATTACCGACAATGAAGATGATGATGGTCATCGGCTTACGCAAATTCTGAAGGAAAAAAAGGAGGCTGACGATTTTTAGAGAAAGTGGGGGAAAAGATTATTAGGGTTAGAATATATCAAGCCATATTTATAAAAAAAATAATTATGGAATTAAATGAAATTACCAATCTATCCTTATTTGTTTTAATAATAATTTATTTTTTTCTTTTTAAAATGAGTGGTCCACAATTATTGCTACATCCACACAATAAATAGTTAGAACATATGAATCTCTCTCTCTCTCTCTCTCTCTCTCTTCTCTATAGATATTATATACTTATATATTATAATATTATATATCTATATTATATAGATATAGGAGAGAGAGAGAGAGAGAGGAGGGTTCAATTGAGAAAAAAAAAGGTTGAGAATGGGGAAACCATTCTCAGTCAATCATTTAATGAGCTTAAAAAACGCACGGTGGCAAACTTGTAATAATCCAAATACATTAATGAGCGGTGGCAAATTTGTAAATAATCCAAAAACATTAAACCGTCAGGGCACTTGAGTAATTTGATAACACGTCAAATCTCGACAGAAAAGCACCATTTCCCTCTTCGATACACCATAACACGAAAACCATTTGCAGAAGAATCGATAAGAAGAAAACCATTTGCAAAAGCATCAAATAACATAAACGAAGAAAAATGTCTTCCGATGAAAACATGAACGAGACCATTTCCTCACTCTTGACAATGAAAGGTAACCATCGGCGTTTTTTCTCGAGTTTTTAACGATTTCGAATCATTTCTAAAATTATCACTTGATTACTTGAAATTTCTCGTAATCTTCGATAATTATTAGTTGATTTAGAACTAAAAACATTGTTTTCACACTGTTCATTCTTCAAAAAAGGTTGTTTACTTCAATTTTTTATGATACTCGTTCATTCTCGTAACCCTCCTTCGTTATTACTTTATTTACTTGAAATTTTTGTAAGAATCATCCATTATTATTTGATATATAAATGATTTTACATCATCTCTTCATTTTTCATCTTTATTCAAAACTATTCTGTCAAAATACAAACGTTACTTCACATTTCGCTTATGTTTTCCTAATATTAACTACTTACCCTTACAGAAACAACACCAACAGTGAAGAAAACATATAAACGAAAAACAAGAACAAATCAAAAAGGTAAATAAAATATGTTTTGTTTACTTCTGAACACAAGCAAAACTAATAATCATTCGTGAATATGTATGTTATATTCACATATGAATAGAACATAGCTTGCTGCCATACATACATTATTCATATGTGAATACAACAAGAATCACTTACATATGTTCTATTCACATATGAATATAACAAAACATATTCATATGTGAATAAAAAAATATGAATACATATGTTTTATTCAAATATTCATTCGTGAATATGTATGTTATATTCACATATGAATAGAACATAGCTTGCTGCCATACATACATTATTCATATGTGAATACAACAAGAATCACTTACATATGTTCTATTCACATATGAATATAACAAAACATATTCATATGAGAATAAAAAAATATGAATACATATGTTTTATTCAAATATTCATTCGTGAATATGTATGTTATATTCACATATGAATAGAACATAGCTTGCTGCCATACATACATTATTCATATGTGAATACAACAAGAATCACTTACATATGTTCTATTCACATATGAATATAACAAAACATATTCATATGTGAATAAAAAAATATGAATACATATGTTTTATTCAAATATTCATTTGTGAATATGTATGTTATATTCACATATGAATAGAACATATCTTGCTGCCATACATACATTATTCATATGTGAATACAACAAGAATCACTTACATATGTTCTATTCACATATGAATATAACAAATATATTCATATGTGAATAAAAAAATATGAATACATATGTTTTATTCAAATATTCATTCGTGAATATGTATGTTATATTCACATATGAATAGAACATAGCTTGCTGCCATACATACATTATTCATATGTGAATACAATAAGAATCACTTACATATGTTCTATTCACATATGAATATAACAAAACATATTCATATGAGAATATAAAAAATATGAATACATATGTTTTATTCAAATATTCATTCGTGAATATGTATGTTATATTCACATATGAATAGAACATAACTTGCTGCCATACATACATTATTCAAATGTGAATACAACAAGAATGACTTATATATGTTCTATTCACATATGAATATAACAAAACATATTCATATGTGAATAAAAAAATATGAATACATATGTTTTATTCAAATATTCATTCGTGAATATCAAACTCATTTATCTTCTACTTACTATTGAATGAAGGTAAGAACACTAACATTTCCGATAAAGATTCACCAACAATGAGAGAAACAAGATCAATGCAGAAAAATCAAAAAGGTATAAAATACATATCATATCTTATAAATGAATATTCTATATTCATTTATGAATATAATATATTTTCTTTGTAAAATGTATTTCAAAATTATTTATCTTCTACTCACTCTTTCATGAAGGTAAGAAGATTTGTATTTCTGATAAAGACCCCACAACTATGATAGAAACAGATTTGAAGAGGAAAAATGTGAAAGTTACAAAATTCCTATCATATCTAATATATTCATATATGAATGAAATTGTATATATTAGTTATATTTTTGTAATAAATAAATATTAATAAATCAACGAGCATATATCATATTCATATATCAGTAACTTATTCAAATATTATATGTTTTCATTTCCCAGATAAAAAAGAAACAAAAGTACCAAAGAAAATAAAGCATCAAAGCAGAAAAAGTCCATCAAAAGGAAAACTCCTGAAAAACAACAACTACAAGATTCAGACTCTGATTTTGAAAATAGTCATCCATCGAAGAAGGCAAAAAAAAAGGAGTCACCAATCAAAAAAGACAAAAAAAAAAACAATGGTAAAAGAATTTTACTCAATGAAAAACAGATGTTCACCAGAGGCATTACTATCTATAATCCTTGGGATGAGCAAAGAACAAAAAGAATCTGTAAGATCTATGGGTTTTGGAGCTTTGTTAAAAATGAAAATCACAGATATACCACTGAAGCTGGGATTTTATGTTCTTCAAAAATTTGATTCTGAGAGAATGGTGATAGATATTGAAGGAAAGGAACTGAAAGTAACAGAAGAGTCTGTTCATGACATGTTGGGTATACCAATTGGTGGAACCAAACTTACACAACTGGATCAATGGCCTAAGGATGATACAAGTTATGATGAATGGAAGCAACAATTTAAAAAAGATTCAATCATCCGACTGAGTGCAATCAAAAATGTTATTGTTTCTACCACACAAGCTGATTTCAATTTCAAATTGAACTTCTTAGTTCTTTTTGTCAACACGTTTTGCGAGTCAACATCAATGGGAAGATGCAACCTGTTTCCCTTGAGTTATATTTCAAGAAAAACAGATATCAGCAACATAGACTGGTGCAGCTATGTTTTGGACTGTCTTGTCAGAACAAAAAAACTCATACATATCATACTCAGATACCAGCTTCTTTGTTGGACCTTCAGCTTTCTTGGTGGTAAGTTATTATAATGTTTATAATCAATTTTTAATAATATTGATTATTCATAAACTAATAGCAAATATTCATATATGAATAAGAAAAATATATTTGTTCACACGTAATGCTTTACATTACTTATTCATATATGAATAAGTAAAAAATAATATTACTTGTTCATATATTAATATCAATTAGTTATCATTTATGTGCAGTTGTTCGATGCTGATAACATCCACTCAGAAGCTTTAACAGTAACACGTAAACGTCCAACAATTTGTTATTGGAGTTCAGAGAAGATTAGATATCGAGAGAAATTTGAACAAGAAAAAGGTAGATTTGGACTTGGAGAATTAAACGAAGAATTTGTTAATGAACAAGATGAAGGAGATACAGATCTCGAAGACAGTGATTCTGATAAAGATGAAGATCATTCTGTTGAGGTAATTAGTTTGAACATGTTAATAATATATGATTACATTAAATTCTAATCATACTTCTTTTTATTACATAGGCATATGAATCAAAAATATCTAAAATGCTTAATAGTTTCGAGAGGATGAAGGAAAAGTTGAATTCAAAGCTCAATGATGCGATAACAAAGTTCCCTGAAAAGGAAAGTTTTAGGATTTTCGAAGAAAAGATGACAAATATAATTGGTGAAGAAAAAACAGAAGGCACAACTATTTTTGAATTTCCAAGTAATCAAACTGGATTTGAAGGAATCAATTTGACACCAATAATCTGTCAAAAAACAAATTATCAAAAAGAAAATGAAGATAAAGAGGGAAATGGTGAAGAAGACAGTGATAATGATGGAAGTCAACCAGAAGAAGATTATTTGCTTGATTCAAATGAAGCAGAGAATGAAAGAATAAAGAATGATGGAGATAATAATCAAAAAGAAGGTGAAACTGAAGTAAAAGAGAAAGATGGAAAGAACAATCAAAATGACAATGATGAAGAGAAAAAAGCTGATGATAATGAAGAAACAAATAATCATGAAGAGACTATTGAACAAACTGAAAATGAAAATTTGTTGGATAAAGTTGTTGACAACATTGTGGACAATGTCCTTGGAATTGGAATTTCAAGTTTAAATAGTCAAGAAGATGAAATCTGGAATCACCCTGAAATGAAAACTATTTTCGATAATATTGATATAGGTAAATTTTGTCTTACTTTTATTTTAAAAAAATATATAAAAATATTAATACACAATAACAATTTTGTTTATTAAATTTTGACCAGGGTCACCAATGAGTACAGGTAAAACTAATAATCTTGCAGAAAAGGAAAAATCAGAAGGTGTACATGAACAAGGAACAAAAGTTGAAAAAACAAAGGGAGATGATACAGGTAAATGACTGATTTAAAATATATTACAATATTTATATTGATTTTTTTAATAACATTGTTTATTCATAAGTGAATAATACACTATATAAATGAATAAAAAATAAAAAATATTCATATATGATGTATATGTTTCAGGCAAGGAAAACTCTGAAGATAGAAATAAAGGAGGAACGGAAGCTAAGAACACGAAAGATGGAGGTGAAGATAAACATACAGAAACTGAGAAAGGAAATGCAGAAGATAAAGGTAAATAGTTGAATCACTAATAAATGAATATAATAAGTTTTATTATTCACAAATAAATAACGCTATATAAAAAAAAATAAAATTTTAATATTTCTTATTCATAAATAATGATATGCATTACTTATTCATAAATGAATACATTACTTATTCACATATGAATTACTTAATCAAAGTTATTTATCTTTCAGGAAAGAAAAAGTCAGAAAATGAAAACAAGAAAGGAGAAAAAGCTGACAAGACAAAAGGAAATAAAGGAGGTAACAATTTGGATAAACATTTCAAAATATAAACTCAAATATTATAATTAACTTACAACTATTTATATGATAAATCTCCTGGCATGCAGATACTCATCCAAGCTTTAGTCTAGGTCTCAGTCAAGATTCATATCAAACTTCAAGTAAAAAATCTAATGAATCTTCACCAAAAAAAACCATTTACAAAGAAACAAATCAAAGACGACCATCAGAAGGTTGTTATCAGATTAACAAAGAAAAACGTTCTTAATCCAAATCCAATCTCTGTATCAATTCCTACTGAAGTAGGACCATCAAAGCATGATCTGGATCAACCAAGAGAGAAGAAGCTTGCTGATGCTTTCAAATCACCTTTCAAATGCAGAATAACAGACACAAAACCCAAACTGACACATCAGGAGAGTATTGTCTGTGAATGGTTGTTCAACTTACAAGGCAATACATCGTAAGTAACTTTATTTTATATACATTCATATATGATTATTATATAGATAATAATCTATGACATTTTGATTATATATTTGCAGAGATGTGGTTGTCCAGACAAAATATGGTCAGATAACAGAAAGAGCAGTTATGGAAAGTCTATATGCAAACACAGAGATTTTTGGAGAAGTTTTAGACACTTGGTCTGATTTACTTAACCACCAAGAACTGGAAAGGGATTTTGGAAATTCACCATACAGACTCTTCTTGAAAGTTGGAGTTTCTGTAAGTTTATGTTCTAACCTTAATTCCTTCCTTATTGATAAATGAATACACCAATATGATGTATTCATTTATTAATATTATATTTTTTTACAACTGAAATTCACATATGATTATACAAATATGATGTATTCATTAACATAATTATATATATTCAACTGAAATTCACATATGATTATATTGGTTACATACTGCTTATCTAACTTTAACATTGTCTGATGAAAGAAAGTCTGAAAAATTCAAGGAGAACTTTCATGACAGTACCAATGGGTACAAAAAAATCTTGAACATAAAAGATATTGACATGGTATGTTAATTAAAGTTGTTTTTTTTATATATATTTTATCAACAAAATACTTACCATTATATACATAAAAACAGGTATTCTTTCCAGTTGTTAGAAGTGCTCACATTTTTGTGATTGTCTTCAACTTACAGAAACTATCAATTGAAATTCTAGACAATAGTGCAGTTGAGGGATGAAGGGAAATACGGAGTAATATTGAAACCTTTGGTATGTACCCAATTCACAACAACATAAAAGAACCAATTTATTACATATCTAACTTTTATTTTATTTAATGATCAGAAAAATTTGTTTGTGAGATACTTTAAAGAAATAAACCATCCAAGAGCAAATGCAATCTCAAAAGAAAGTATCAAACCCCAACGACTTGAAATGTCATGGAGAACAGTTAAAAACAAAGTTGATTGTGGGGTCTTTGCAATGAGACATATGGAGACCTATATGGGACAACCACTCTCAAAGTGGAAACCAGGTCTTCATAAAGAAAGTGCAGTTCAGCAAACTACTTTAGAGAAGCTCAGGCAGAGATATGCACACATAATGCTAACTTCTGAAATTAACATGTTGAAGGCTAAGGTGTTGGATCTTGCTGAAAAATATCAAAAAGTTGAATTCAAAGTGCGTACTGATCATGCATACAAGGCTATGCAAACAATTCAAAAAAGGTTAAAAGAATATGATGATGATTGCTTGTGAAGATGAAAGAATGTTGAAGTGTGATGCTATAGAACAGTTTGTGTTGAAGATGAATGGATTTGAAGTACATGTAAGATGATTCTGCGAAACAAGTTTTAAACGGTTTGTTTAAATGTTATTGAACATCGTTTTAATATTTTGTGAAATGCTTATGAACAGCTTTTATTATCTTGTGTTGAATGATTATGTAATAGAACTAACTTCGCTTATTTCTGTCAGTTTTTTATATTTAAATATTTTCAAAGTTTATTTATGTTTATTCATAAATGAATACGAAAATGATATATTCATTTATGATTAAATTAGGAGTAATATGTCAGTATAACAAAGTTCATATATGAATATAATAAATTTCAGATATGAATATAACTAACTTATTAGTAGAAACAAGTTTGCTTATTTATGTCATTTTTTTATATTCAAATATTTTCAAACTTTATTTTTATTTATTCATAAATGAATACGAATATGATATATTCATTTATGAATAAGTTCAAATTTATGTTAGTATAACAAAGTTCAGATATTAACATAAAAAAGTTCAGATATGAATATTACTTATTTATTAGTATAACAAATTTCACATATTTGTATTCATTTATGAATAATTTACAATATCAATATAACTTATTTTATAGTAATTTAAAAAACAAATATCAACATATCAATTTACCATATCAATATAAATGTGTATTATTCATACATGAATATTATTGTTTATTGTTTTTATCTGCATATAATCATAATGAATAAAACCAAAATAAATAAATAAATAAATAAATAAAACTAAAAAATCCCTAACTGTCTTTTGCTGATTTAGCAGCTCCAAGTCTTTCTGGACAAGTACATAAATTGTGTGGAACTCGTTTTCCACATCCTGAACACATTCTATGTTCTTTTTTAGAATTTTCATATGCTACTTCACCTGCACTTGGAATTCTTTTCTTGATTCCAGAACCTTTATTGCTTTGAACTTCAGGAACATGAATATTAATCTCTTCTAGAATTGGAATAGTAACACCCAAAAGCTTGCATACGACTTCACCATCTGTCTTGCTTTTCAATCCAGGAGAAATATAATCACTCTCAAATTCCTTCAACAACATTTGTTGTTCTCAGCAAACAAAGCCAATCTCTTTTTGTCATCTCTTACAATATCCAAACATGATTCAAAACTATAATATGAATCATTGACTAGCTTTACATTCTCACAATCACCTGAATCGGATTGAACAGAACTAAAACGATAATTTCTTGATATCACATCCTTTCTCCATCTCTTCAAAATGTACCTTTCAGGAATTTCTTTAACACCACATCTCATCATTATTGTAAAAGCATGTCTGCATAAAACACCCATACGCTTAAAATGTTCACAACTGCAATTTATTTCTTTCTCTTCAGCTTTTATTTTAACCTGATACAAAAACAAAATTTACACATTTACATTCATATAAGAATACTCATATCAACACTCATATATTCATATATTCATATAATATTCATATATTCATATATGAATATTGATATTCATATATGAATATTCTCATATTCATATATGAATATTCTCATATTCATATATGAATATTATTACATTTTTCATAAAAAACTAGTAAAATTACCTTAATTCATTTTTAAAATCACTTTTACTGTTGTTGTGCTGCACAATGTAAACTTCCCAACCATCTTCAATACCAACATATGAGTATGTACAGAAAAAACATGCTTTATATATTTCTTTTTGCACCTCAAAAAATAATGTACTTATATAAACCTTTGATGCTTGCAGTTCTATTTCTCGAGGTGTTTGCATTTTATATGATGCTTTCCTTGATGCCTTATCAAGCTCTCGTTGAGTATTCCTTTGCTTTTGAATGGCAGTGTCGTAATTCATCATGAAATTTTAAAAGTAAGTTCCCACTTTCTGAGTATGTATTAAAGAATGAATTCATACTCTCTGACCTCGATGTAGTCTTCATCAAACCACACATTGGAATATCACTAAAATATCCAGGTATCCATGAATAACGTATTGTAAACATGTCTTTAAACAATCTTGTGTCTTCAAGATTGAATTCCTTCATAAGCAAACCCCACTTCACCTCAAAAACATCAGGTTTCATATTAATGTCCCAAACAAGCTTCGAAAACCTTTTTCTAAAGTCTGTGTTCGTAAATAAATCATCTGATATCTGTATTAAAACAAAAATATTCATAAATGAATAAATAATAATAAGTAAAATAACAATCAATATTCATAAATGAATATACTAATAAGTAATATATTTGAAATATATTAAAATAATACCTTTTTTTCAACTTTTTCATTATATGCCACATACATAATCGGTGCTTTGAATTACGAAACACATTCTCAAGAGCTTGTTTTATTGCAGCATCTTGATCGGTTAAAACAAGTGTTGGTTCTTTCCCATGAGTTTTAAGAGATGCTTTAAGCAACCAAGAGTAAGACTCAATGCTTTCATTGCTTAGCAACCCAGATCCAACAGTAACCGATTTTTTATGATGGTCAATAGCAGTAAACGGAACAAAAACCATTCGATACCTAACACACAAAAAATGTTCATTAAAGTCAATTTTTGATGTATTAATAAGTGAATATAAAAATATTCATATATGAATAAGCTATAAACAAAAGTAGATAAAATAACTTACTTGTTTGTTCGGAAAGTCGCATCAAACGAGATAACATCGCCAAATTCAGCATAATATGCCTTCTCCATTTCATCAACCCAAAACATACAGTCCAAAACATCATCTTGACAATTAAACT